ATCAAGAAGGATGCTATTTATGTGGTAAGAAAGATGGCTATATGACTAATCTCAGGGGCGTATCTAGGAATTTGGAAAGGGGGGTGCTGGGGTACAGAAGACAGTGGAGAGGGAAATTAGGAGGCGCGCGAAGCGCGCTGCGATTTTGACCACGCCCACTTTTAAGGGGTTAAAACGGCGTTTTTCTTCATTTTTCGTCAATTACGGGTGGGGTCAAGATCATTTCTATGACTGGTTCGCATACTGGTACTTTTGATGACTCTTTGAAGGACTGGAAACTGCTGAAATCATAATCAGGGTTCTAGATAACTTTAATAAGAGGCTTGGTAGTGATGCAAGAGTCCAGAACTTCCTAGTAATTTTTTTTAGCCAAGCCATAAGGGGGGTGCTCAAGCACCCTCAGCACCCCCCCTGGATACGCCCCTGAATCTTTCCACCTGGAATGATGAACTCAAGTCATTTGTACTTCGCCACTTGCCTCACCCTCCTCCTCCTAACATATTAATATGTAAAAAAGATTTATTGGAAGCTCGACGTCACCATCTCGATCTGAATTATACACCTAAATGGAAATCAGTAACAGTTGATAAGCAAATTACTATATGTGTATACCCAGAATGCAGCAATAACAGTGAAAATGATTGCATTATTAAAGCCTCTTTCTTGTCACAACAAGAAATGAGAGAATTATGTAGCATTGATAGTAACAATGCATTTCTCTGTAAACATCATTACAATAAAATTTACAGAGAACTAGACTACACCCACCTAAAAGGTGTGCTTCATGTAATGCACTCCCTAAAGCTGGTGGTACTTTCACACACCACAGTCCCAATGCCCAGTTAGTCTCAGAGTACTTGAATGATGGCTGTGTGCTTCAACAACATGACCTCCTATGCTTAGCATGTTATAAACTACATTTGTCCATATATAGCTCTCAAAAAAACCAACCACAAACACTAATAAGACAACTCCCAGACAACATTAAATTGTGGAATGAAGAAAAGGTGAGGTCATCAACAAATAGACTTACCTGTGCCATCTTGACAACAGTTGTAAAGGTTGCTGAATATATATGCGATGAAAAGGCTATGTTACTGTCTGCTGCATGTTCTATATTCACAGAGTCCTATACCGGTGAGACCAGTAGCCCATCTGTAGAGATAGAAATAGAAAATGGCGATAGTATTACCAAATTCACATCTCGTTGGCTTCTGCACCAATTAATATTTTATCTCAAGCAATGTATGAGCTTCAAATGCATACACAAAAAATTTGGCACCATACTTTATAGGACAAATGGTGATATTTTGAAAAGTTTGTCTTGGGCATTAGGGACTCAAAATAATAGTCACCAAAAACAGTTCGACCACCAGAACAAACCAGTTTCTTCTACTCCTCCCAGTCTTGTAGATAGCGCACAAATATTAAATAGCTTAATTCACAAAGAAATTGCTCGTTTATCAGATTCTCCCATTAACAATGATCCCTCAGAGCTATCAATTCAACAGTTTATGAATGAGGTTGACCCACAGATTATTACTTTCTTAAACATAGCTACACAAACTGTTAGAGCACAACGATATAGCTC